TCCCGTGTATCAGTGGGAAACATTTTTCTGGGCCGTCAGTGTAAATAAAACTTAAAAGTCATCCAGTTAATTGTATGAATTCAAAGCTGCATGCGTAGTGATTGCATCTCATTCTGGTCTGCTTTCTTTTATTACAACAAATCCAGAAATGTCACTTCATTTTCATTTTAGGGCTGTAAAATATTTGTGCTTTGATCTGAGAGGCTTGAGATCACTGAAACATTTTCTGCTCTTGAATTCAACAACAACACAAATAAAATTAATACTTTTTCAGCTGTTTTTTCTCTACTTTTTTATTCAGACCTGATGAATGAAGCGTCCTGGTGGCCTCGGCGCTCTGTCGCTCTGCTCTCTGATTATACTGTATAGAATGAAAAATAATTATACTCCACACCAGATTGTACTTCTCTGATTCATTTCCCATCCACTCAGCACATTTAATATATCCGCGGCCTGCTTGGTAAGACTTCCTCTGTGTGTGAGTATTAGAGGACTACGTCGTACGCTGCACATCTCACGGTTTCAGGACGGACGTGCATTAATCCATTAGACAGAAGCTAGCGAGAACACTAATAATCTCCCTTCTCACACACAGAAAGCATCTGACACACCGGACCCAGACTATACACACCGCTAATGCTTCCTGTTTGCTTTTAATCAGAGCTCAGGTTTCAGGAAGACAGGATGCATTAGACATGAGAGGCAAGAGACGGCTGGCATCAGCAGCCTATTGACTGACGGCTGGAAACAACCGGCATCTATTTATTTTAAGTATATTTTTAGAGGCTTCATATCGGAAAGTTGCGACAGAGAGAGTCGGCCGGACGGGTCCGAGTCAGGTCCGATTTGTTTTGTTGTGTCCTTCCAGATGGTTTCCTCTGGATGTCCAGGATTGTATTTCGAGGTCTTGATCTTTGAACTTAAAAGCATCATGTGGATTTTTAGACGTGTTCGTATCATGCATGGCACCATTTCTGCCACCGGTTTTCATGCATGACTCACTGGCATTAAAAAGACTGCAAGCATGAACATAAACAACCTCACGGGACTGAAAGTTGTCCCCAAAATAACTTTAAAACGAGAGGCCTTCAGCATGTCAGAGAAACCTCAGGGATAAAGTTTGGTGAGAGATGCTGAATGTAAATCTGCAGGACGCCTCCGTCTGGACAGGAATCAGATCTAATCCTGTAAAAACATGCAACCATGTGTGTTTGACCAACATCCTTTATAAAACCTGGTCCGTCTCAAATCATCAAATTTTCAGAACTGTTTCTGCTTGACCTTCTCTGATTTGCCTGAAATTTTTATGGCATAAAATATGGATATATTTGGGGAATCATGTGATTAGAAGAAATGTTGTATTTTAATATTTTAACGTGTCACTACTTATGGTTCAGAAAATATCACCAGTTCACTTCTGCATTAGCATCTTTTTGTTCGGTAATGTGAGCTCAAAGAGGCAACTTTTCGTGATTTTTTTTTCTTATGTTTCAGCTTTCCCATAAGCGACTGTTTGGTCTGCGTGTCCAATATTACAGATTCTGATAAATTAGAGTAAAAATTTCAGGTTTTTATCTCTGATAGTTCCATATTGCTGTCCAATTATAGCCTGCATGTTTGAATATGAGAAAAAACATCCTGAAAGTGGATTAAGGGGCAATTTTTCTTTTTTTTTTTTCATATGTTAACCTAAAATTCCACATATACATATAATTTTAAATATTCACAGACAAACAAAAAAGTTTCAAGCCAGTTAGAGCTGGAGATGTGCTTATGCAAACATCCATCCATCCATTTTCTATACACCGCTTAATCCTCATTAGGGTCGCGGGGGGGCTGGAGCCTATCCCAGCCGACTTAGGGCGAAGGCAGGGCACACCCTGGACAGGTCGCCAGTCCATCGCAGGGCTACACTTAGAGACAGACAACCAAGCACACTCACATTCACACCTACGGACAATTTACAATCACCAATTAACCTCAACATGTTTTTGGACTGTGTGGGAGGAAGCCGGAGAACCCGGAGAGAACCCACGCTGCACGGGGAGAACATGCAAACGCTTATGCAAACAGTATTTAGAAATATAAGAAGAGCATAAATGGATAGTAGGGCTGCAGGTGGCTCGGTGGTTAGCATCGTAGCCGGTTGGCGTCCCGGTGAGGACACCCGGGATCTTCCTGTGTGGAGTCTCCATGTTCTCCCCGTGCAGCGTGGGTTCTCTCCGGGTTCTCCGGCTTCCTCCCACAGTCCAGAAACATGCTGAGGTTAATTGGTGATTGTAAATTGTCCGTAGGTGTGAATGTGAGTGTGCTTGGTTGTCTGTCTCTAAGTGTAGCCCTGTGATAGACTGGTTACCTGTCCAGGTGAACCTGCCTTCACCCTGAGTCAGCTGGGATAGACTCCAGCCCCCCACGACCCTGGTGAGGATTGGTGGATGGATGGATAAATGGATAGTAATCTTTAAAACATTGATTGTATTCACAGAAGTCTGTGAAAGTTGGTATAAAATCTAAGTTGTGTAACAGACGAGTGAAATATTCCAACAGCTGCAGTCGAGCACAACGTCACATTTAATCACATCTGGATTCATTTGTAAATACTGCATGTATGAAGGTTTAACATGTGACGTCCGCTCATCATATGATCATCATACGATGTCACGTCTGATGATCGGGTAACAACGCCTCCTTTCACAGCTTCGTTAGTTTCGGGCATGAAGCCAGTCATTATTCTGCCTCACCACCGAGAACGGAGTCAAACAATCCCGACCCGAGAGCTCGGATTTGTAGAAAATCGTTCAGAACGTGGCGAGTGCCAAACAGCTATCTGGCGAGCTCCCGTTCTACCGACTGTTAAAGTTCGGTCAGAATATTGATTAGTGCGTCTCTGATTTCTTCGACACATGTCATATTTCTGTCCAACTCTGTTTTTTTTGCAGAAATGCAGGCCAGGAGCATTTCCTGTGTTCCTTTGGCAACGGGCCCAGAAACTGCATCGGACCCAAACTCACCAACGTCTTCCTGAAGGTGACTCTGCTCATAACACCTCCACACACATAAATCCACACGCTTTCATTATTACCGCCGTTTCTCATTCGGCCTGTAAAGCTTTGTTGGAGTGAAGGAGGTGAAAGAGGTGAACGAAGGTGGAACTTCTCGCCGCCTTTCTGACTTTCTGCAGCTTTTAATGACGTGTTGGGATGTTTGTGGTTTAGGAGCCGCAGCTCTGCGTTTTATATGTGGAGCTTCTGGGTCACGTTTGCAGGAGAATCTGCTGGACCGAGTGAAGAGCAAAGAGCAGAGGATGCAGCCAATCTAATATAGAATATGGTCTGAACTTAGAAGATTAACCGCGGCGCAAAAAGCAGTGTGAGATTTAAGCAACCAAGTCATCTGTTTACTTACCTGTACACAATAATTCAACCCATGTAGCTCACCTGAAAACATTCTATAGACTTTTACTGTGAAGTTGTTTAATTTAGGTTCTCTGCATGTGGTATGAAGAACCTTTAAAAAGCAGTTTTGTCGTTATTATTATGAAATTTGAAAAAAGCCCAGAGAAATACAACATGTTTGAGTGCAACCAAACAACAATACCGTGTTGTTGTCATGTAGGTAAATGACTACACAGATACATACAACTAGGTTTATTATCTTATAATGAAAAAAACCTTTATCAGAGGCAGTAACTGTAAAATCAGAAGGAATTGTTGGGTTTTCGACTCCCCGACTGCGTTTGAAATACTCATCTGCTCCATTGCCAAGCAAAATCTACACTTAAAATTGTGTTATTTAATCAAAAAGTCTCATTTATGACCCAAATAAACTGTTTCTAAGTTTTCTAATTCTACGTTTTTTCACTTTATATAAAACGATTCATAAATTAATTGATTAAAAATTCACCTTTCTTTTTTTTCCCTTTTGTTTTTATGATTTATGGCATTTTAACTGGACTGAAGACATTTATTTTGTTCTCTCTACATCTAACTGTATTCTGTTTCACCTCTCTGGTCGTTGCTCGCAGCGAGCCAGCTGTGGGTTGCAGCAGCAGCTCGACTGATTGCTGCTCTGAGCAGCGAACTCACCCCCCCACAGTGAAAAAAACCCCTCAGAGAGGAGGACCATCCCCCAACCATTCAGTAAATAGAGCACGACTCGTGGGAATGACGAAATGCATGGCTGCATATGTGCTGGTCCGGCCATCCTGTGTGCCATGTGTGCGTTTGTTTGTGTAGATACACCAGAGGGAGAGACCCGAGCACTGATTGTCCCGTTTTAATCACCTCCCGGTCCCAGTGGCAGCGCTCACCATGGCCACCGCTGCCTGCACTGGCCTCTGAACAGGACAGGTGTGTTACAGGTGTGACAACAGGAAGCAGGGAGGTTTATTTCCCACGCGGGGGCATTCGCTCTGGAAACAGGTGTGTGTGTGTCGGAAGCCTTTCGCCAACGGGCCGACACCGACTTGAGCTGGTGGATTCCCAAGGTTTTAGTTGGAAACATATGGAACCGGGTGCTAGAGCCAGAAATCTGTAAAATGGGTCTTAAAGATAAATGAGATGTTTACATGCCAACAGACTGCAGCTGCATGTGCCTGGAAAAGGTCCTCGTTCTCACACAGGAGACAGCTCGCCGTTCTAGGACGCTTTAAAATACAGAAAACGTTTTGTTCCTTTATGTGCTCACCAGTACGACAGACTGCTGTTTCATTCTAGTGTAGCTGTTAGCTTAGCCTGGACTAGACAGAGGTTAGAACACGGTTTGACTGAGGATGCTGAAACTGCCACAGATCTACCAAAAAAGCTGGACAGATGCTGGTAATAACCCTCTGGTATAGTCCAGGACCAGAGCTCAGCACGGAAATGTTAATGCACACCATGCAGCTCAGTTCAGCTTTATTTATTCTGGACACTTCCACCCCGTTGGAGCAACTAATGAGCCTTCCAGCATCAAGCCCTCCTTGTATCTGGACCTCCGTCTTGACAATCCGACAGCCTTGCTATCCGACATAAGAGAAGGTTTTACATTTAGTTTCAGATTATGGAGTCACGACTGTACATAAATGTACTACAGTGACTTTTTAAAAAAACTTAAATCTCTTGAAATGTAGTGGGTTAATGAAATGACTCGCCCTGGAGTCAAAGCTTTGTTAGCTTCATGTGATGTTAATGTCAGAACAGGTCAGTCAGAGCTGCAGAGCCCTGATCTACTGGATCTGGTTGAGCAGTGATGGGACCATTGCTGCTGGTGAGAGAACAGAAAGTCTGTGTCTTAAGTCATATTTTTCACTGACGTGTTCAAAACAAAGCTTATGGTTGCGGTTGTGTGGGTCAGCTGCCTGTCATCGCTGTTTCTCAATGAACAAGGCGAGACGCAGCGGTTGAGAAAGCAGAGGGGAAGGAAGCGCCAGTCAGCCAATGAACGGCTTATCTCAGCAGTCCACATCCGTTGAGTCAGACTGTTAACTAACACACTCAAAGTACGTTATCCAACCTTCGCTGGTAGATTACAGCCACCAAGACGTCCCTCTGTGTGTCTGTTCTCCTGTTATTTAAGAGGAAAAACAGCAACACGCAGGGGGGTGTCGAAACGCAACCGTCAGGGATGACTCAGTCCTGCACACACACACACACACACACACACACACACACACACACAGAGTCATGAGTCAGTGTACACGTCTGGCGTGATTGAACGGTGCTCAGGTGTAGCTCATAGCAGCCTAATGCCTCCAAATTCAGCTCTCGTCACCGTTCAGCAGGACAATCATGCCTCATTATTTCAGATTGGATTACTTATCCAAGATAACCGGCTGCTTTTTCGTATCGCTTATGAAGTGACACGAGGGGCACAATGTGGACTGAACACTGCTGCCGTGTGCTTTCCCTCCAGCATACTGTGTGACTGATGTTTATATACATATAGATATACAGTCTTCCTCATATTTATTCGTCCCCTCCGATTAAAGAAAAGGCAAAACTCACACTCAAATAATGAGAAACTGAAAAAAGTAATAATAAATAAAAATTTGCTAAATTATAATTTAGTGAAATAAGCATTGTTTTTGAATTGCAGTTGAAAAGAATAATTTAAAAAAACAAAACTGTCCAAATGAGAGGCCTTTGCTGATGAGCAGTGGTCCAGAACACCTGTCAACAGGTGCACAAGTCTGACTGAGAGTTACAGAAACACCTGATGGCAGTGATTGGCTCAGAGGGTTGTTCAGCTACATATTAGTTTACGGATCCCATCAGGCTGGTTGTTGTTTTTTGTTTGTTTGTTTGTTTTATATTTCTGTTGAACCACAATTCAAAAGCAACGTCATGATGTTCATTCAATTTTTATTTATTATTACTTTTTTCAATTTCAACTTATTTCAGCTGTTTTTCCTTCTTTCATGGGACGGTATGAACACATTAGAGGACGACTGTATGTGACTTGTTGGATCAACCTGAAGGAATTGCTTCAACACACATTTGGATTACGTTAATCCAGATTTAGTCAACAAGTAATATTAATACTTTAAGTTAGACCGGCTGGAATCATTTGATTTCTCTCAAGTGAGCATTGCTGCAACTTCATTTAAGGAAGAGTCAACTTCCATCCATCATCTCTACACCTTAATCCTCACCAGGGTCATGGGGGGTGGAGTCTATCCCAGCTGACTCAGGGTGAAGGCAGGTTCACCTGGACAGGTAACCAGTCTATCACAGGGCAGGGAAAGTCAACGTAAAGTTTTCAAATATGTCCAATTTAGGTTATTGCTCTACTCAAATGTAAAAGATGATCTTGTTCTTTCCTTTACATGGTGAGTGAATTGTGGCAGAAAATGTTAAGAAACGTCAGACACACAAGCAGTTTTAAACTTTCTCATGTTTGCTAACATTCAGATACCAGTTTAAAGGGACAGAGGGTCTGACTAAATGTTTGGTTCATCATTTCAGTAATATCTTGTCTCATCTTGTCTTCATTTAACAAGAAGCTAATCTGGTCTTTACGGTACACCACAGAAGTGAGTCTACCACTGTGCAGTATTACTCAAAGGTCAAATGATTCAGAACTGTGTCACCTGACAGCGACTGCAGTATTTCTAACTCGAACTGTCGGACGTTTGCTCTTGTGTAAAATTAAAAGCCAACAGGTTGGATGTGCTACATTACAAACAGTAGGAACTCAATGCAGAAAGCTCGGGTGTACCTTTTATTACATTTTATTCTTTCATTTTCCCAATACTCAGCACATCCACATTTATTTTTGATGCTAGAATGTCTGCATGGATGATACCAGTGTGTTCTGTTGGAAACAATCAGGCAATGTACAGTATGTTTTTCAAGTTTTTCTTCTTTAGAAGCTGTTGTGTAACTTTGGCAGTTTGCTTTGGATCGATATCGTGCTGGATGCAGTCTGGGAGTCATCCTGCCAGACGGTATTTTGGTGCATCCACGGACATTCGTGGTGCCATCGATAAATGTCAACTCTCCAACGTCTTCTGCAGTCGTGCTGTCCTGAACCATCACACTCACGCCTCTGAGTTCACATCAAACATCAGTTCATCAGGCCTGTTGAGCAGAGTTTTGTTGTTTTGTACCAAACAGCAAGAAAGAAGGATATATGTGGATCTGATCAGTGGTAATATGGTTCATTCTAGACCTCCTGATGAATGCTGTGGTTTGACTGACTTTCTGCATCCTCTTTCGTCGCACGTAGATACGTCCTTCAGGTTCAGAGCTGAGGCCACAGGATTACAGACGCACACAGTTTTGTTTCCGTCCCCACAGATTTCTAATTTACGTGATCACAGGTTGTTTAGCCGTTATTAGCTTATAGTCTAGACGACGTGGAAGTTTGTACTGTGCTAGTCAGCAACCAGGTGATTTGGAGTCATTTGGCGTTTTAGTGATTTGGCACATGGATTTATTCCCTTGAGCTTTATATTGTGGATAGTTTTTTTTTTTTTCAGCCCACTGCTTTATGACGCATACCTTGAACCACATCTCTCTCTCGCTGTACATCCTGCTTAGTTGTAGCTGTAAAAGCCGACTGTTTGGCTGTTTAAAGTACATCTGACTGGATTACAGCAGGCTGACCGCTAGCACATGCCACCACACACACACACACACACACACACACACACACACACACACAAGGGCATGGCCAGAGCAAAAAGTAGACCGCGGGGATCTAGGTCAGAGATGTGACTCATCGCCTCACTTCATCCTTCCCCTGTCCTCCTTCCTCCCCTCCCCCACTCTCATCATCCTTCCTCCGGTCCCTCGGTTCTCTCCTCCCTTCATCCCTCTCATTCATCCCGCTCCTCCCCCTCCATCGGGAAGAAAATCTTCATTCATAAAGCGAAAGGGGAAAATGTGGTGTTGGTGGAGGCGACTGGTCGGCTGCAGGATAACCCAACATGGCGCGGCGACTGTGACATCACCAGCTACGAGATGGGAATAGATTCTAATAGAATATCAGACAGCAATTGTTGAATTTCTACCACATGCTCAAATAAACACAAAAAAAATCTGTGTGACTCAAGTGATAATTAATTTTTTTTTAGTGTTTCTGTCTAAAAGTAAGAACCGAATCCAAAGGACCAAATGTTCCAGTGAAACTTGGCTGCTGAAAGGTGTTGCATTGCTATTTTCAAACCTGGAAACAGGCGTAAAGTGCTGTGGAGGCTGTAGCTTTGCAAGTTGGAGGCTCGTTCGACGTCGGCGGAGGCTGCAGCTCTGCCAAGTGCCTTCTGCTTTAACATTTTGTTTCTGCTCTGCTGTAAAATTACGAAATTGTCGCTTCCACTCCCGCAGCCCCTGAACTCTAATTAAGTTCCGCTTACGTAAGATACAGGAAATACAGCACATCCAGAAAACTGTGTTTTTTTATGTTTGGCTGCCAGGAAGCGTGCATGTACCTGCTGAAGCACTACGACTGGTGTTTGGACCCGCTGTCGCAGGACCTCGAGTACAAATGGCTACCTGTGTCTCGGCCCGCCAACCCCCCCACCGTCTCCTTCACCACGACCGGATGTGACAGAAGCGACGCCAGCTAGGGATGCGCAGTACGTTTCACGATGCACTCAAAACGGTGACTATTAGGCAAACATATGAGTCCAGAATGGGCAGGAAAAAAGAATTATCTTGCAGAGGAAAGCCAGCGAGCAGTGAGGCTTCCCCCCGCTGTGCTTAATACAGTTATGGTCCTGGGGAACGCCGAGGAGAACGCCGGCTTCACTTCGTCTGTTCCTCTGCCAGATATTCTGCAGCTTTCCTTGATGACTCTGCAATGGAAGATAAATGATTCAGTCTTCTGTGTCGCTGCTACACAGATATTTATGCTCTAAATGCTGCATTTGAAAGAGGTTCCACAACATGAAAGTGTTTGAGTTCAGGTCCAATCCCCTGTCTCGTGCATCAAACGTTGCTTCTGGGTTATGAAGATTTTTTTTTTCCCCCTTCGCAGCATCAATATTCAAAGTGTTTCGTCCGGAGGAGCACACGTGCACGAAACAGAAGGTAAACCCTCAAATACCATCACTGACTGCAAACCTGTCCCCCCTCCCCCCCTCCACCACCTAGCAACCACCACTGCTTAGCAACAGTTCGTCATACCGACACCGACTCGCTTCCTTTTAGTATGCAAGTCTCACACACACACACACACACACACACACTAACCTGGTTATTTTTGAAAGCGTTCTGAATCCCGTCTAAATGATGCCAGAAGGCTTTAAATCATGACTTGCTCTGGGCCAGAATCAGTCCTAATGTCATATTTATTAGCGTGAGGTGCCCTGTGTGATGTCATGTAGACGTCTCGTGTGTCTTCAGTCTTTTATCTGTTACGTGTGGTTTTATGTCGTCTTATGTTTTAATGTACGAGACACCGTCTGACTTCATGTAATGTTTGATTTGAGTGCTGTGTTCCAAGAAAAAAAAAAAAGTGTTTTCCATTGTTTTATGTGAACAAAATATTATGTAATCTTAGCTGCTGTTACTTACGTCTTGACTTTGTTTTTAGTTTTGGTTTTGTTGAGATGTGTGGCACCACAGGGGTTATTAGAGGTCATCAGGCGATAACAGGTCATTTTAACATTTCTTAAGTTACTGTTCTACCATAATAAAATCTACAAAACCCACAGTCAGGATTTAAAGGCATGTTATCATGAAAAACTCTGGCAAAGTTACACAATTCATCAGAAACTAGAAACAGAAGGAACCGTCGTGGGTTTTTCGTGTCATCCGTTGGGAACTTGAGCTTGAAATCAAGATAGTTTATTAAAATCAGTTTATTGTTAATGTCTGGTTTAAAGATTTACCAAAAATATGTTGCTGCCTTAATCGGATTGTGTAAAAAATAATAAAATTTCTAGCCCTTAGTGACTCATTATAAGCTAACAGTCGTGACTTTTCTGCTGAACCGGGTTGAGCTGCAGGCAGTGTTTGCACATAGGAGACAAAAACTAGTATAAATGTAAGTAGTGAGAGCTATTAGTGTGCAGAGTCGTACTTTTTTCCGATAACACCTGTGGGCAAATGGAAAAAAAACTGTTCCACATGTTGATTGCAGGTTTTTCCAGTTTTTTGTAAAATAAATAATCCAAGAAATTCAACTTTTGCCTTTTCTTTTTTTTACTGATTCATTGCATTCTAGGTGGCTTGCACTGGATAAGAGACGAGTTTTCTTTCCTTCTAGCCACGCTGTTCAAATAGAGTTGCATGGAATATATGTTACAGTGAAAAATTAGTGAGAAAGAATGTAAAAGGAGCAAAAAATGCATCAAGAAAGTGTTTGACATTTAGAAGGTTAATGTAAGAAACGGCTGCGGTGAGGTTTTCCCAAATTTACTCACAGTATTAAACATGCAATAATATTTTATCGTCCTCAAGCTTTTACAAGAGCATCCTATTGTTTAAAGTAAATATGTGCTCGGGCTGAACTCCACACAATCCAGCTCCAGTCTGAATGACACCCGGAGCGAGTAACGTGACGTAACGTGAGCGCCGCTGTCTGCAGTCTGCACAATCAGCTGCAGGCTTGTGTCTCAGAAAGATGCTTTTTGTCCTTGTGGAGACAAAACCTACTGTTCTCTTTGCTGCGCTGCTTTCCTTCACACACACACTTTATTCCATCACACACACACACACTCGGCTACGCTGCACATTCCTCGCTCACACTTGCAGACGTGCATCACACGGGATCTGGCAGAAAAGGAGGTTTTTGTGAGCAGGCTGGTATGAGTCACTGCTCTCGTCCATTAGCCGACGCTCCTGCTCACAGCAGCTGATGACAGGCAGAAGGGACTTACAGTGAATCCTCTTACGCACAAGGACACGCAGCCCGGTTTTATTTAGTTTTACTTTTTTTTTTTTCTCTCTCGTGTCATTTAATTGCTCTCTTTATCCCGTTTCAGTCTCCTGGTCTAGTTTGAAACACTGAGAGGACGGCGGCAGACTAAACAGTCTAAGTACCGCGCTCAGGGTTTCCCCGTTGCAGCTCATTAGGTGCAAATCAGCTGTACTTTAATGCACGGTGTTTTCCAAAGCATATTTTACTCAGATTAGGCCTTTTCCTTCCTCTCAGCTGAGAGTTTGAATTCAAGTCTGTGTCGGGGAAAATTCCAGAGCAAAGAACTGAAACTTGTTTTGACATAAACACGCAAACAATACGCTTGTAAAGACCATCTATATCCTGGCAGTAGTAAGTCGTGCAATTTGGTTCTTTAATGCATTTATTATAGGTGTTTTAGAAATATGACAAAATCTGCTGCGTCAAAAATATACATACAGCAACACGACTGTATTTGATGAAGTGTTCTTGGACCATTTCCACTTCTATTATTCGCCTTTCGGTATTCGTCCACACGCCTTTGACAAGCTTCTGGTTTATCTTTGATCGCTACACTTGATGACTTGACTTGGTGCAGTTCAAATAAGTTTGTTGGCTTTATGACACAGACTTGTTTCCTCATCAGTCCACAGGTTCTGGATGGGCTTTAAGGCTTGATTTTGGGGAGACCGGTCTAAAACGTTTGATTCTTGTCGGATTTCTTTGTGACGTGTGTTTGGGGTCATTGTCTTGTTGGAACACCCGACAGCGTCCAACTTTCTGGCTCATAATTTTAGGTTTTCCTCAAGAACGTGGAGGCAATCCTCATTCTTCATCATTCCGTTTGTTTTGTGTAAAACACCAGGTCCACTGTCACCAAAACAGCCCAGAGCATGATGCTGCCACCACCATGCTTGACGGTAGGTTTGGTGTTCTTGGGGTTAAAGGCCTCACCGTCTCTCCTCCAAACATACTTCTGGTCTGGTTGTAGGCAAGTAGCTCAAGTTTTGTTGCATGTGATCAGAATTTAAAGATGTTGTTTCTAGAAGAAGAGCTTCCTTCTTGCATGGCGACCTCTCAAGTCCATGTCAATGTGAATTCATTGTAAACCTGCTTTTTGGTGATTCCTGGTTGACTCTTGACCATCCTGACCAGTTATCTTTTAGCAGCAGGTGACAGCTCGTGTTTTCCTCTTGATCAAGTCAACCAGAGTTGGCCTGTTGCAGGGATTCAACCCAAGGCCTTGATGGACAGATCAGCGGTTCTGCTGCGTTCCACTCCTTCACATTCTAAAACACAATTTGGAAACCAGGTGACTGTGCACACCCGTACAATGACCTACTGAATCTGTTATTGTGAGCCTAATGTTGAACGAATTTCAGGAATGTGATGAGCAGAAGTGGCACAAATTCTTCTTCTCACATGTGGACGACGGAAAAACGCAGCTCGTTGAGAATTAAGTGAAAGCGCAAGTGTTCATTATGTAGCATCCTGCATTATTATTCACAGTGTGCGTCGTGTAGCTGGAGGTTATAACAGCAGAACCACATCCATAGATCGCATTCATCCAATGTTCCCTGTTAAAACACAGTTATGTTACTCAGTTGAAACTTTTGAGATTCTGAGAAGGTGGTCCTTGTCTTTATTTTACCAGTTTTTGTTTTTTTATTAACACTTTTTAGTCAAAGAACAAACATCATGTCAGAACAGAACATCAAATCTGAAGATGATGATGATATATTTCCTGTTAGGGTCCATCAGTGTTCAGAAGAGTCACCAGAGGATAGCGTTGTCCTGTTAGATACCAAGTCCGTCCATTTCTCCCACTTCTTCTTCTCCTTTAGGTCTTGGAGAGAACGTCGTCTTTTCCATTTTGTATGTTCCTGTTCCTATTTCCATCCATTCGTTAAGGTTAGGTGGCTCAGATTTGTAGCTTCTCCGTGTTTTAGAAGCTATGAGCAGCATCTTACCAATATACCCGTCATTTTTCATAATAACATTCTCACTTATCGAACCAAAATACAGGAACTTTAATTTTACCAGTTTTACTTTGTTCTGAACCAGTTTCTGTTTTTTCGCCTGCAACTGGCAAAAGCACATTTATTGGCTTCTCTGCATTGGTTTCCACCCAGATTTAGAATTGATTTGAAGATAGTTTAGTTTGTTTAAAGTGTTTAGATGGGTTCGCGCCTCCATTTCTCTCTGATCTTTTAACTCCGACATCGGGCTCTTTCAACAGCTTTCGCATCAGGACCTCGCTAACGCTTTTAAAACCCATTTGAGAGCCAACTTAGTCCTCAGCTTTTTAACCAAACTGTGTTTTGATATTTGCTTCTAGCTTTACAACACTCTGGCGATTATCTGCTGTTTTAAATGTGCTCATAAATAATCTGACTTGAGGGCTCGTTGTTGTCCAAGGACAGAGAGCTGCCGCGTGATGTTTTATGAAGGAACAAACTGAAGCAAACCAAAAAGAAAGAAAAAGGGAGAATGAAACAGCAACCTTGAGGTGGGTTAAACCTCCGTCCAGGATTGTTAGAAAATGAAAATCATATAAGAACCTCCACGCAGGCTGATGTCGACCAGGAGGCAGGACGGCGCATCCAGATGGCAGAACAAAGCCTGAGGTCAGTTCTAATGAGCAGAGCTAATTACCGCCAGTGTCCCGTCCTCCCAGCGGACCGGCGGCCTGGAATGGTGTCTGCAGCAGGAAGTGAAGGCAGGGAAACCCTCCGCCTCACACAAACAAACAGCAGAATCACACATTTAGCTCCCAGAAACACACTCAACACACTTATTTCCAGCCCATCATTAAATGCATGTTTGCACAACAGCAGGTCTGCAAACAACGTTTTGACATGTTTGCCAATAAAACACTGGAACAGCATCAACACGACGTTTTGTGGAATTTAAACTCAAATCTCTTATTGAAAACTTGAAAAAAGTGGAGGAACAGAATTTTAATTTTATTTTACTTAATTAAGAAATTGTTGTAGCCCACGGATCGCCCCGCTTGATCCACAGCCATCTTGACGCCTCTTCAGCAGCGTTCCTGATGGCCTTCCTGGTGTGCAGTTCCTTCACGGCCCTGATGAGGGACTGGCCAACGAATCCTCTGCACTCCACCTCAACGGGGTTGCACCGGTTCCTCCAGGCCTTGCTTCAGCATTCGCCTGCCAGCTCCTCATGCTTGGCCTCCTCCATTCGGTCTTCCCAGGGAGCAGTCAGTTCCAGCAGGACCACTCGCCTTGATGTTTCAGACACCAGGACGATGAGTGTGGTCACTGCAATGCTTTCTGGGAGTCTGAGCTGTCCCCCCAGGTCGACCTTCATCTGCCCCCGGGTTGGTTCATGCGCTGGTACGGCTTCCCCCGGCTTTTACAAAGTAAGAAGTTAACGTACACTAAGGTGAACACCACAGAGGTTTACAGCACTCTGACTTCTGTATATTCTTATACATTGCAGGAACTTTGCAAATATTTTCACGATGTTCCGTTTTTCCCTCTACAGGCCTGAAGCTGGCGTTCTGCTGCACATGTCAGACCTGGAGGTTGTGTTCAGCACACGTCCGTTTCTACTGATAACAGCGGCAAAGTCACCACCTGAAGTTCGCTGTAATGAAGTAATGGAGTCCTTGATTTCATAATAAGGTACACAAAGGCTGCTCTTGACTGCCGGTTTTGTCAGCTGTGATGCAACATCGACTCAAGTAGGTGCTTTAAAAACGTCGTATCCGGCTCGGCTGTTCTTTACAGTTTCGAGGATTCGTTATGTCATTCTTGATATTAAACACTCAGCATTTTTACTGGACGGTGACACACTAAAGGCATGAAAACAAAGGCCTGAGCTTCTTTTATTAGTGTGACGGTGTTAGTTTCCTGTTTGGATGCTCACTTTATATCTCAGTGTAGACAAACATACACAGTTATTATCATAGTAACTGTAGGAACCATTCACCAGACTGGAAGGTTTTCTTCACATCAGCTGCTAACTTTAGACGTCTACAAGTGTTTGTCTATCCACCGAGCTCACATAAACACACACACACAC